TTTCTGGCGAGGATGCGCAGTCTTACGGGCTCTTAAATCACCCTCTCCCAGCTTGGCGGGGCAGCCCCATGTGGCAAGAGGGAAATTATTTGTTTGAGTTGCAGCTGCAAATCACTGGGATTTAGTGCTGGCCCCACGTCCCGAGTCTTAGGTGTGTGTATTGGCCCCGAAGCCGTCAGCCTTGGTTGTCATCTCCATCACTGTCCCCTTTTCCAAACCTCGATGAGCTGCATTTATTGCCCTTTGGCTGAACCAACCAAGGACATTAATCTGAAATATCTGAAAGCTATTCGTTTGTCAAAAGATACTTCCAGTCCCACAAGCCACGGTGGTGACATTTCTGCCCGGAGCTGACTGATGGGGTTGTTTACTCTTTGGACATTCAAATGCCGTGGGTCAAGGACAATGTGATTCATGACCTTAAAATATTTTTCTCCCAAAGATGAAATACTAGCTGCTTTACACACACACCCCTTTCTTTTGAAAGTAAACTAATAAAACACCACATTGCGCTGCACAGTTTGCCAGCATTTTCCATGTATACTCTCGCTTGACCCTCACAATTACATCCTGAAATAAATGTTTTTAAATCTTTATAGATGAGGATAATAACGGTTAGCTGACGCACCCACATAGTTTATTCATGTTCATTTTCCCAACCTCACTTATAACATGTTTCAGAATTAAAATCACAGACATTTAATCTTTTTTTTTAAGTTGAGGAAACAGACTCAAACCCGAGGCAGCAAGCTGAGCGAGGGCAGACAGTGTGGACTCGTGGTAGGGCGGCAGCCACACAGGCTGATGGGCCTCCCGGGGTCCCAGCGTTAAGCCATAAATTGGGCCTGAGTTCCCTGGAAACCCAAGTAAAAAGGAAAGAAGCCATTTACAGGATTCATATCATTCCATAAAGATAACTCTCACCAGTTTTTCTGAATGTGGTGCTTCTCACCTGGGAGCTTTTAAAATGCCGAGACCTGGGCCCCACCCCAGACCCATCAAAATAGCCTTTCCAAAGGGGAGGCTGGGTATCAGCATATTTTCTTTAAAACTCCCCAGATGCTCCCGATGTGTAGCCAGGGTGGGGAAACGCTGACAGTGAATTCGGAGTCACTCACGAAGCGAGATCTATGCTCAATCCCAGGGTGAGCCCTGCGCGCCCCAAGGCCAGTGCCGGCTGGTCCGGATGTGCATCGTCCAGCTCTGGTTCTGATGTTTGCCTGGGGAATGGAGCCAGGAGTGGGGAAGGGTTTTAGAAACTGGAACAGAGCTGACTATGATTCCCATGCATGGAACTTAGAGTAAACATGGTGTGTAATTCGGTGGCTGCGGAGTAGAAAATGATTTCAGGAGCACAACCTCCATTATCAAGGAGCCTGAAGGTCTGCAGAAATCACAAACAGGTTTATTTTACACATCTCCATCTGCTGCCTGTTTATGCCTCACCATTAGGAGGGGCACCGATGGGTTCTCCCTTCTTCTGATGTATCGTGTGTATCATCAAGGATGCAGAGAAGATGGCAGCATGTCCAGGGGGCTGGCAGGTCTGCTATTCCATGGACCTCATGCCCTCAGAGTTCCCTGTCTCACTCATGTCTGCAAAGAAGGTACCGAGGGGATGAAAAGCTGCCCCGCAGAAAGCCACCAAGCTGCAGGCTTTTGGAAGATTATACTAGGTGATACTTTAAAAAGTTGCACCAAGCATTGCTGTGAAATAACCTTGCAATAATGGATGCTTCTACAGGTAGTAACCCCGCAAGCTTGTCATCATTCAGTGCTTTTGGGTTTCCAAGTGCTCGCATGGGCAATAGTGCGTCCACTCTCAACTTCACAAGAGTATCTGTGGGAAGCGGAGAGCCATGTGTTTCCAGTAGTGAGACAAGAAGAAGGAAATGCCTACCCCAAGAAGTTACCTAAGTCTTCCTGGAGATCAGGATCACCTGGGACACTTGGGACACGTCCAGGACCACCTTCCTGGTGCTTGATTAGTGTGGGAATCTGGTTAGTGTGGGAGTTTCAGTTTTCCTTTTTGTTAAAATAACTGTTCCACATTTTTCTTAGCCTTGGGCAAATTCAGGACGACTACACTTGAAGGAAACCTGAGTAATGGGTTGATCAAGAAGGAGGAGGAACCATGGGGAAAAAGCTTCCCTACGTCTGAACTCTGAAGGATCCCGGGTTAAATTTTGCCCCAATATTCAGTATCTTTGTGCAAATTACTTACACTCCCTTTGTCTCCAAATTCTATAAAATGGGAGTCATTGTATCATCAGAGAGCATATTAGATAACTGATGGGCATTTAATCGTCCATAGCTACTACGGGGCCTAGAATGTAGTGGCTGCTGGATGTGTGACAGTGACTGTTACCAAATCGTGAGTCGCCAGCCTGAATAAAAACCCTAAGCCCTGCCTTCACACTAAAGGAATGGTTCTTGGCTGAGGGCAGTTTTGTTCCTGCCACTCACTGTCTGCGGGACATTTTTGATGATCACAACAGGGGGCTACTGCCACCTAGTGGGCGGAGGTTAGGGACGCTGTTTGACACCTGTGACGCCTAGGACGGCCTTTACGGAGAACAGTTATGTGGCCCAAATATTACTGTGCCATGGAGGGACCCCCTCCCAAAGGGCAAGTGAAGTGTCTTGTGAGTGGAGGGATAAAAATCTTGAATCATTGGTGTCCCCAATGTGGAGGCGGGCCCAGTGGGTCACAGAGGCACTCCTGGCTCCGGACGTGGTCAGAGGTGTGGATTTGCACCCTGGTGGTGCCCTTGATCAGGGCCGACTTGTCACCTACTCAGGTCCACTGTCCTTTGTGGAGCAGTGTGACGAGGCAGCCCTGGCCCTGACCCAAACTATCACTTCAGTAAATCTTGTACCTCAGGGTGTCCAAGACACCTCATTTGACTGGTGGCCATTAGACTCACTTGGAGAACAGTTGACACGTCAACTTCTGGCTCCATCCCTTGGAGATTCGGTGTCAGGTAAGGGCAGTGGAAGGCGTGTTTCCAGAGTCACCCCAGGGGTTGCTGGATCACAGTTGGAGCCAGTGGGGCCCCTCTGAGCTCCCCACCAACTCTGACATTCAGAGCACCTCCGAGACCTCAGAGCACATGATGGCCTGCCTGACTTCTTCCACCTCATGGAGATTAACTGTTTATGTGGGTGTGAGGTATCAGGATTAATTGTTTTAATTTTTACTATTTCTACTACAACTAATATTATGAATAGTACTACTACTGCTGCTAATAATAATAACAACAACAAATTATGGCACAGAATGTCTAAGGTGGTACCCTACTCTTCATGACTAGAGTAAACCAGGCTCAAACACCGTCCCGAGTGTCCTTCTCCACATCTCGCAGGAATTCTGGCGTGGGGAGAGCCCACCCACTTGCCTCGTGTTCCAAGTTCCTGCTTCCTTTCATAAGTCATCTAGTGACCTTTACCCGCGACCATGTTGTCTCAGGCAGAGTCTTCCCAACTGGCACGACCTCCATTCACACCAGGCCTCTGGGTCTAGAGTTGACTTTATGACAAGTTGGGGTAAGTTCAGGGGACCTGTATCAGAAGTCACTCCCCATGAAATCGTGTAACTCCTCTGCTTAAGAATCGTCTCCGCAGCCCTGACTGGTGTGGCTCAGTGGCTGGGCGTCATCTTGTACAGCAAAAAGTCACCGTTCGATTCCAGGTCAGGCACATGCTGAGGCTGTGGGTTCAGTCCCCAGCTGGAGCGCCTATGAGAGGTAACCGATCAATGTTCCTCTCCCTCTTTTTCCCCTTCCTTCCCCTCTCTCTGAAAATAAATAAGTAAAATTTTAAAAAAGAATTCTCTCTGCAAAGTTAACAAATAAAAAAAGAGAAAAAAAGCACTCAGAAAAAGATGCAGAGACAAAAAAGAATTGTCTCTGCATTTCAGCCAGCTCAGACTCTATTTTCCATGTTGCTGGCTTCTGGCTTCTGGGCCTTTTTTGTATGGCCAATAAGGAAATGGATGAACAATTAAGTATTTGTGTTTAGATAGAAAACATATATAATGTACATATGTCTATATATGTCTGTGTGGGTATATATATTTATATATAAAATAGAATATACGTGGATAGATGTGTTTATATTGTACATATCACACACACACACACACACACACACACACACACACACAACAATTCAGCTCCCCTCCAGTTTGCTGTCTCCTTCCTGATCCACACACTGGGGGCTGCCTTTTCATTCCCGTGGGGCCCATCAACTGTTTATACAGACAAATGTATTCCTTTACTGATAGGAATTGCGTCGCCAGCTGCGGGAGGGGCGGCCCCAGGACACTGCACCTGGGTGGGCCCGGGGAGGCTTCCCCCGCCCCTGAGCACTGTCATACACCTTGGCTCCTTCAGTCCTCACCAGAACACTTGGATGTAATTGTCATTTCCCTTATGTTGCAGACAAAGACCTGAGCTTCAAAGAAGTCAAGTTCATATATTTGAGGTCCCATAGTGGGTAAAGAGATGGAGCAGGGACGAACCCCTGATTCCACGATTCTGAGTCCAGAACTTCCCTCTCCACAGCAGGACCCTTTGCCCAGGATACACACTGGCATCCTGGGGTCAGGGGAAGAGAAAGGGGCTTTAACAGGACTGAGGCTGAGCTCTACCCTAGTACAAGGAAAGCAGGATCTCTGGGGAGGTGCTCAGGCTCCTGCATGTTCAGAAAGTTTCCCTGGGGATTGCAAGGTGCAGCCAGCTCAGGGGTGTGTTGGTCACGACATGCCAACCTGCCAACCAGGACACTGAGAACGACCTCGCGCCCAGGTGTCAAGGTTGTGCACCTGGCTCTTCTGGATCGTGGCATATATGATGCTTTACCACTTCTCCCAGCCTCCTTCGAAAGGTTTCCAGACCTGAACTTTGGGATCATTTGATAACATTTGAGAGGAGCACTTACCTGCCCGAGGAGTCTGGCCACCATCCTTCTTTTCCTCATCCTCTTCTTCCTCTTTACAGGCACAAAGAAGCACCCTCACGGCTCCCCAGCCCCAAGCACCAGCTCCACAAGTCGCCTCACCTTGCCAGGTGGGTACATGGCGCCGCGCTGTGATGCTAGCGATCACAGCCAACAGAAAGAGCTGCTCTCTCAGGGGTTGAGGTCACAGTTGATAGACACGGAACCTGGCCCCTGGTTCACCCAGCCTCCTCCATGTCATTCGAGAGTCTCTGCCATCCACATTTGGGAGGTTACTTCAGGAGAGGCCGCGCTTGGTTTGTGGTCTCTCCTGCTCGCTAATGGAAAGAGTAGAGTCTTGTTCGTCCTTAATGCTCACGTGGACATGTTTTGGGAGTATTTCTTTGAGGGACAGATGGTGCAGGGGAGTGAGTATGAGCCTGTGGTGAGAGAGGCTGGGGTTCAAACCCCAGCTCTGCAATGTCCAAATTGTGCAGGCCCACGAGGCTTAGGCAGCTTCTTGCTTGTAGGTGTAGTACAGTTCTGACTCGTAGTGGGTGCCCACAGCTGCTTTACCATTGGGAAATGTGGATCCCACCTAACATTTAGCAGGAAATTGTCAGCGTTCATGATGATTCTGTATAATCACTGTTTACTATGAGAGACACCTGTGGCTCATTCTGTCTCCATGCCTAGCTTTACAATCTCTACCACGATTTAATTTTTACAAGTAGAACTTGCAAAAACGCATTTGTTTGGGTGGGGGAGGAGATGTTATAAAAGGCAAATGTAGACATCGTAGAAGAATTGAAAAATAATAAAAATTATAAGAAGAAAAATAGTGCCAAACCACTCAGAGGTAACCGAGATTACCATTCCTTCTGGTCTTTATTGGATACTTTTTTCCTAGGGTGGAATTGTATTCTACATGGGTTTTGTTTCATCCCTTTTAAATTTACTTTTATATTATCAGATTTCCCTGTGTTATTAAATATTTAAAAAATATTTTAGTGCTTGGCTAACCTTTCATATGATTGACTGATACTATAGTTATATACAGATTTTTGACTGTGCGGGAGGCTGGTAGCCCTAACCCCAGTGTTGTTCAAGGGTCAACAGTATATTCACTGATGATTTGCCATTAACGTAGCTTGCATTTTTGTTGTTATAAATAACCTCACATTCTTGTACATAAATCTTTCTATGGATTGAAGACAGATTCCTATACGTGGGATTATTAGCTCAAGGGATATGTACATGTTTCGTTCTTAATACATTAGAGTCAAAGTGATGTCCAAAAAAGGTAGTATTATTTTATACATCCAGTGACGAGTTTGCCATTTCAGTATGCTCTTGCTAATGCTAACATTAATATCTTACCAATTTGATGAGAGAAAAAATTACATCCATATTTGGTTTGCATTGCTTTTATTTTTTTTTAAATTTATTTTCTAATATTAATTTATCTTTTACATTTCTTCTTTGGTGGAGTACTGGATTTGATTCATTGTGAACGGGACAGTGCCTTGCATTTTGGCCCCCGAAATAAGGACTATTTTGCCATCAATGGTGTATTATGCCTTAATTAACATTTTTTCTTGGTTGTACAAGAAACAGTAGTTTCCTTTATAATCAGTGGCATCTTAGCTTAGATGACATATAATCTATGTCCCCCTGCTTTCTCAACCTCAACTTCTGTAGCTTCCTCACCCCTGCGCAATGGCCGGACTCGGCGCCCACGAGGTGCCTGGGACTTCCTGGCCTCAGTCGCTCAGCCTCCAGCGCTGCCGGCCCTTTTCTTCCTGCCTAATTTCTTTCGTGATCCTTCCACATCATCTAGGTAGAATTAATATTTACTTAGAGCAATTTGCTTATGAGTCCTTTTGCCCCATGATAGGTGGCCTTTTCAAGGGTGGGGACTGTCTTACTCTGTTTTTGCCCCAGTGCCTACCAAGTGACAAGCACACATGGTAAGACTGGGTGCATGGGGGTGTTAGTGGGCGCTATTTCCATTTATGACTGTATAGAAAGCAGCCGTCCTTAGAAAAAAGCTCATTTTCAAGTTTGGATTCGCATCAACTATACGCACTTGCTTTTTAGTACTGAGTCTCCTTGCTCTGTAGCCTCTGGAGGCCCCTTCCACCTTGTCCCTGCTTGCGGATCGTGCGCCCTCACAACTATAGACATTAGGAGGAAAACAGCTCTAAACTAGGCAACTCCAGCATGTAGTGATGGTGTCTGCTCTGCTGTGGAAGGTCATAGCCTTCAGGGTCAGGTGGGGTCTCTGACACATGCAGAGCTGACCTGGTTCCTGTCCGCCGTGCCCAAGGCCTATTCTTGGCCAGCTAGGTTTCCAAGGCCTCTGAGGCGGAGTCTCAGCCACCTTGTCCTTGGCCTTAGTGGGGCAGGTTAGTCCCCAAATTGCTGTCTCAGGTTCTGAATTCTGACCGCTCCCGCGACTGCAGAGGAGGAATAGGTGGTTCTCACGCTTTGTCTAGCAGGTGCCCTCCACCTCACGTGTTACAGTGGCCTGCTCGCCCCTTCTTCTTCCTGCCCCAGGACATGACACTTTGCTTCCCTCTGACTCAGGCGCCTCTACCACGAGCTCTCTTGCTGGCTCTCCAACAATTAAAAGACATCTTATTTCAGGATACTCAAAAAGCAACAGGGAAGAATAATAATCCTTAAAAAACAGTACAGTAAAATTGTGCAGGAACAAAACAATAGAGATAGGCAAAACAAGCAATTCAGAAATCTTAAATTAAAAAGCAAACATATAACCATTGGAATTTTAAAAGAGAAAGGCTTAAGGTTGAAAGGAGAATCAATGTTGGAAGGTAGTCCTTAGGACTTTATACCAAACATGACATAGAAGGGGAACCTTATGACAAATGAAAGAACAAGAACCATAAAACTTAAAATAAGACATAGGGATGCATCTTCATGGCCTTGGACCAGGCAATGATTTCTTAGATATGACACTTAAAGCTCAAGCAACCGAAACAAAAAAATAGATCATGCAACTTTGTTAAAATTAAGAATGTTTGTGCTTCAAAGGATGCTGTCTAGAAAGTAGAAGGAAAACCCACAGGATGGAAGAAAATGTTTGCAAATCATATATCTGATAAGGATCTAGTATCCACAATATGGAAAGAATTCTTAAAACTCAACAATAAAAAGACAAATAACCCAATTAAAAATGGGCGGAAGATTTGAATAAATATTATTCCCAAGAAGGTATATAAATGGGGAATACAAAAAGATGCTCAACCTCATTAGTCATCAGGAAAATGCAGATGAAAACCACAGTAGGCTATCACTCCACATGGACTAGAATGATGAGAGTAATACAAGTGTTGCTGATGATGTGGAGAAAGTAGTACCCTCATACGCTATTGGTGCTTTAAAATGGTGTAGTCACTTTGGAAAACAGGTTGGTATTTCCTCAAAAAGTCGTATAGGGGGACTATATGACTCAGCAATCCCACTCCTAGGTATATTCTCAAGAGAATGGAAAACATATGTTCACACAGACACTTGTCCGCTAATATTCATAGGAGCATTACTCATGATAGCTACAAAGCACAGAGACAAACTAAATGTCTATCAACTGATGAATATATAAACAAAATAGAGTATATCCATACAATAGATTATGATTTAATCATTCTGAAGGACTGTGGTCCTGATACATTCTATCACATGGATGAACCTTGAAAACATTTTGCTAAATAAAGTAAACCAGATACAGAAGACCTCGTATTATATGATTCTATTTATGTGAAATATCCAGAATAGGCGAATCCATAGAGGCAGAATGTAGATTAGGGGTTACTAGAGGCTGGGGAGAGTGAACAGGGAGTGAATTCTCGTGGGTATGGATTCTTTGAGAGGTGACAAAAATGCTATGGGATTAGATGTTGCTGATTGTCATATAACCTTGTGAATACACAAAAACCACTGAACTGTACATTTTAAATGGTGAGTTTTAAGGTACATGAATTACATCTCAATAAAAGAGAATGGTAGATAGATAAATGGCTCTGAAGACTCAAATTCTTAGATGGAACATGCACCTCAATTGCCATACCTAAATAAAATGGCCATACCTAAATAAAACCAAATGTGTGCCTAAAGGCGTTGTGTGAGGTTGCCTAAAATCACATAAAAAATAAGGGAATCTTGAATGCTGTGAGAAGTTGGTTATGTTCAGGGAAGCTGCAGGCAGGTTGCCCACAATAAAGTGAAAACCAGCTAACAGCAATATTTGCATTGGTAATAATAAGTATGAGAAAACAATGAAGATATAAACCTTCCATGTGCTGAGGGACATACTTCCCCACAAGGAGAAAAGTGAACTTCAAAGCAAGTTGTGAGTTACAAGAATTAACAGTACACACACAAATAATTAAAACATGTTGGTAAATATGAATAATTAGTCACCATAAAAATAATGTCCAATTTTTGTGTTAAAATAGGAAACAGAAGCTATCGATGGAAGGAGAGTTATTCAATAGGGAGTTGAGGAATGCTAAAATCTATTTTGTCTTTGGGAAGAGCTTTGTAATTTTTGTGATTTTTTAACCCAAAGGATCATCAGTAAAATAATTTAAATGTAATCTGTAGCATCTAAATCAGCAAGTGAACAACACCAAAAGGGAATATAGAAAATGTATTAACAGGGGCAGGAAGGAAGAAAAAGAAGCAAAAAATAAAGAATGATTACAAAATTAGATAGTAGAATCAAGTCTAAAAAAAAATTAGATTGTATAATCAATTCCAAAATATCAGTGACGATAATTGCAAATGGCTTAAACTACAGAGATTAAAATACAGAGATTATGTGATTAGATTTAAAAAATCCGAAGTCCAGCTCTATCCTGCATTTAAGAGACACGCTTTAAAAGACACACACACACACACTCTCTCTCTCTCTCTCTCTCTCTCGTGCACACACAGACAGAAAGTTTGCTGATATATGGCAAAAGAAATTCTTTGCAAAATATAAAGCTAGTTCTTTGGAAGACACTATTTTAACATCTGTATAGTAGTCTATTATATGGATGGGCCACAGGATAGGATATTTAATCACTGATGGTTGTTTTCCATTTTTTGCTGTTATAAACAATGC